CCTAGCTTCAGCGGCATATTAGTAGTGGCTACTTTTTGAACGCTGTTCGTCGCTATCTTGCCCTGAATATTAGCCGAACCAATTTTCAAAGGAACCGCGTTTCCAGCTAGTTTCACGGGCATATTTCCTGCACCCAGCTTGACCGGCACTCCGGCGCTCGAGCCAGTTTTGACTTGGACAAAGCGTGGAGTTCCCGCGCCGCCAGCGCTCGTACCCAGTACGATCTGTGCATTCGACTGTGCGGTCGACACTCGCACCGTGCCCGGCGTACCCACGCCGCTCACTATCCTCGTAACACCTTGCGGTGTCACGGCCGCCACTTTAATCTGTTGCGATGACCCGGCAGCCGGGGACTTGACTACCGTCTTGGTTTGATATGAGGTTTGCTTTAAAGTGGGAGTGTTGGTTGAAATTTTGACGGCAGCAGACTGCGCGGGAACTTTGATAGCACCAGAAACGATCTTTTGAGGCGTAGATGCAACAGGCCCAGAAGCAGGCGCTGGTGATACTGCGGCTGCCACTGGTCGCACCTGCCGCAACTCAACAGGGGTGGGGGGCAAGCCGGTCGCGACCGGTGATATGAGTCCGAAAGCTTTGGCGGCGTCAGGTTGTGAGGCTACAGGAGAAGCAGGTGGAGGAGCAGATACTGGTTCTGCTGCCGTGGGGAACCGAGCAGGTGTTATTTTGCCACATTTTTGAACTTGAAGAAGATAGGTAGTGACAGTGCTCATTCCTGGCCAGCAGAGTTCCAGTGAAGTAGTGCCAGCACGCACAAGTGCCACCCTGCCTGCTTGAGGAGGCACACCCACCTCTAAATACCACAAGTCTTTGCAGCAAATTTGGTTATTCCAAGTTTTTCTATATCCATCTCTTCCTGACCATATGTATAGCCTTGTCTGTATGGCCACAGCGCTGTGTCCGGCGCGCGCCCGAGGTACACAATCCTCAAACTTATCCAAAGCTATATTGTCCCATGTCATGGTTTCAAGGTTAAGGGAAGCAAGTGTATTTGTACATTTCCATTCCTTTTCATGGGTGGCAAGTTTTGATTCATCAGGGACGAGTGGCACCCAACCACCATATACATACATATGATGTCCAATAACTGTAGCAGTATGTAGTGACCGGGGCAATGGTGCGGGGCCACCCAACTCGGGCCGAGACCAAGACATGCTATCTACATCAAGAACCCACAAATCTCCTAGACGTGAACCACTCATTCCCCCATATATTATTAATGAAGACTTTCCAGTATTCTTGTCAGTATATGCTACACCACTGTGTGACTCCCGGGGTGGTGGTGATTGACAATAAGTTAATGGTATATCCCAAACAGTCATTGATGAACTCGGGTATAATTCAAGTGTGTACAAATCATTCAAATATCTCGGAATATTATTTTTAGGATCATCACTTTCATTAGCCAAGCCACCAAATAAGTAGACTTTACCATTCAATAAAGTAAAGCTATGACCAAGCCTGGGGCATGGCGGCAGTCCTTGTTTGGGAGGAAGGGGTTTAAGACGTTTCCATTCCCACCTGGAAGCTTGAAGTTCGTATAGGTCATTGGAATACTTGCCGTACTCCACCATGCCGCCAAAAACCAGAAGACGGGTCCCATCTACGACGAAACCGTAGGCAGCACAGCCGGGGGGCACTTCCCCTTTGGTGACAGGAACGAACCATTGATTTGTTGAAGTGTTGAAGACATGAAGCTCATGAACGATCCCTTCATTTCCGCCGCCGAATACAATCATCAAATCTTTAATAGCAACCGCGCGATGACCATGGCGGGGACGTGGTTGGGGCCCGCTAGGATTGTACACTTTTTGCCACTTAAGTACAGCGTTTTCCTTCATTTTTACTACACATTTGTCACAAAAAGCTTAACACCGTATGTATCGCTTTGGATGCGTATCTATTGCATAGACAATGAGAAACGTCGTAAATAAGCTTCGGAGAAAATATTCAGGTTAGTAGCAGTTCCATAACACAATTAGCTGCAACTTTCTCGCTCGCACTTATAGCAGGCAGTTTTGGATAAGATTGAATCACCTTATGCAGCTTATAGTTATAACTAAAATGGCGTTAGCAACAGCGATGGCAACCTAATCGGACAAGAGAGAACGGCGTCGGACGTCAATCAATTGTTTATGGTAGTTTTGTTTTTAAAAACTGTTTCAGCCAGACTATATCAAACTTTACGTTTTCATTAGAGTTACTGGTACAACGTTTTAAATGTGAGTATAGTATACCTAAGTAATATATAATGTATACAATAATGAAAGGAATATTTTTCACCTGAGATTTTAATTTTTTAGCTTTTTTAAAATTATAAGAAATATTTAATGTAAAATGTGTTGATAATGTCCATGGAAATATGGAAATGCGGAACTGCTTTCTTCCTTCTAGCAACAAGTAACATGTCTAATAAAAAAGAAAAAGACAAAAATTTATTCTGATTTTTCATCCAACAACCTGATTTTAATAATCTTTTTATTTCTTCCTACATTTTTTGTTTCATGTCATTATTTTTTTAATTAAAGTAATCGCAAGTTGTATTTACATTAATCTGAAATAATAGGGCATTTTTAACCATATTATTTCAGATTATGTAAAGTCGCATTAAGCATAGATATATTTAATACTCTGTGCAATTAGATGTTTCAACTTCCAACACTCTATGGTGCTACTCTATGCAAATTAAAAAGTATTGGTATTTTTATGTTGGTAACGACGACAAAAAAGGCGGCATTTAGGTGACATGGCGGCAAAATACTACGTTGTGCATGTTGTGTAATAATTAAGTTTTCTTTATTACATTTTTCACCATTTGCAATTTATATTTGCAAATTTGGGTCCTCTAGATGTAGTGCTGAAAGAAATTGGTAACAGTTAAGTCTCAGATGAAGATATTATTTTTATAGACGGCATGAATGTAGTAAAAATATTCAAATAATGAAAATGAATTTGGAAAACAAAAAAATTCATTGTTATTATTTGTAAAGTAAAGAACTTTAAGTACCCATTATTTTAATGGTTAAAGATTAAAGATTTGTTTGCAACAGCGCCATCTATTCTGATGTAATATAAACGAGGTAGAGGAAGCATCGACTTGTCCCCTGTGATACGCTAGATGTAGATGATAATTTCAATACAAGATAATTTATGACAAAAGATTGATATTACCAAACAAATAAACAAAAACATTAAAAATGTTCATAATTATATATCAATTGTATTGGTATGTTCTAGTTCATAAACATTTGCCAAATTTGTAATAAGATACCTCTGTCTGTTGTCAAGTAGTATTTGTAATCTTCTTCCATCTATTTTATCTATATCTTCTGTAAAAAAATTAACTTCTCGTGACCTTTGTTTAAGAATGAGGGATGAGAGAATTGTAGATCTCCATATGTGCTACAAAACGTTCTCTGTGGCATAACTTTACCTTTTATATTTTGCACACAATAATCGCTATTTTTCATTTAAAATTGCAGTGTATTTTTTTTGGTTATAATTTTAATCCTTATCAAATTAATGTGTTAATTATTAGGACAATTTAACGTAGATTTAAATTGTCTTTTGCAGTAAACATTCTTAGAGTTTAGAAGATACGACGATCACAAACAATAAGCGTAACCGTGACTCGTGAACTCGTGTGCCAGTGCGCCCACAATTGCAATAACACGTTATATTGTATCCCAATCAGGTATTTTAGGTCTTGTTATGTTTTAAAATCACTATTTATTTAAGTCAATGTCATCTGTCGCCCAACTACTTTATTAGTTCAAATTATTGTAATATGTGCATTTAGCTATTTAATGACGCAACTGACAATATCATGTTTTAAATTTTAAATGTTTGAAGGAAAGTGGACGCAATGTACTTTCTTTACTACAACTTCATACCTGTTTCAATCGATGTATTTCACTTTTACTTGTTGAACGACAATATTAAACAAAAAATTATGAAATTCGATTAGATTCTTGGCGAATCTTTTCTATTCTGTACATACTTACACTCTTCACTTAAATTTAATGAAAGCATATTTATTACGTGCATATTTTTATTATTGACTTATTTCTATTTTTAATAAATATAAAAAATAATTTGTAACAGTTCACACGTTACATGCGGTATAACGTGATACAGTACAATGTATACACCCGCGGGTTCGCGCTGCCGAACGATTTGTACAAAAACCTGTTATCACTGTTAATACTCAGTCACTTAGACAAAACTAAGGTCACGAGGAATCCGTCTATGTACCGGTTGTCCTACGATGGAAACTCGTGACAAGTTTAATTTTTACATTTGTTAAGTCTTTTACTAGCGCGGTTTACTTCTGTACAAGAAATTAATTTGAGTTGTAAAAGGACTGAAATATATTCCGCGAGTGTTGTACAGTCCGGTACGGGCGCTACCGCAGCAAGCCGCAGCAGCAGATGCCGAGGAGGCCGCGGGACTCGCCGCTGCCGCCCTCCTCCGGCTGCACCTGCACCACGCGCTTTTTCTTTTTACCCTTTTCGTCGTAATATTTTTCATCCTGAAATGGTGTCATAATTATACAAAACTGTAAGTTTTAATGAAATGTGACTACAGGAAGAAATAAATGTGAACCCCGAAGAGAATATGCGAAGGGGACCGTGGAGCTAATTTAGATCGAGTGGCTAGGATGTTCGCGGGCAAAGAGTTACGATCACTCGACTTCGAGGCAGCGCGGCGTCGACGGGCTAGGCGTTCGTTCGGACTCACCTCGTTGACTTCCCCAATTTTGTACTTGGCCATGATGTCGCGCGCGTCGCCGCTGTGACCGACCTCGTCGAAGGCCTTACTGGCGTCTCCGCCCCCCTCTTCGAGAATCACGGCGTCACCCGCAGGATGCTGCACATTCAAACTCTTTCTATTATTATATGTCAACAATTAATACAGTAATTGGAGAATAAATTAAACGGTTGTCATATCAAAAGTGACATAGTGCAACCTAAGATAAGAATCTCACCTCGGCTAGGTAGTCGGTGAGGTCGTAGACGGAGTCCTTGTAGATGAGCCAGAGACGTCCGCCGGCGCGCCCCTTGTGCTGCGCCACTTCAGCGCGGGAGAACCGTTTTACCTCGCCCATGCTGCAATCCTGCAACAACAACCGCAACACTCACACTACGTGTTTGTATCCGGTTTGTGTTGTCGTCGTCATCGTGCTAAACTGTACTAAGTACCTAATATAATTGGTCGCGCCCCGTCGTGTTAGCTGGTCGCCGTCACGTCGCCGACAGAACTGGCCTCAGCCAAGTCATCTAACGTTACACCCGAGTACTTTTGTACTGCAGTGGACTCGGAAAGGACAGTAAGAAAGCCAATAATTTTCAATATTGAAACTACTAAGATGTATCTTTTAAAATCTGAAAATTAGTACTCCAGAAACAAGATATAACCAACTTTTTAATTTAGTACACTAAGTATGAATGGAAAGTACAATATATAATACATATAATATAAAATGTGTGTACGTGAAATTTAATGTGACATAAATGTAAAACCAGATTAGTTGTGAATATTAAGCGATTTGGAGTACATTAACAGTGTACACAGGACACACGTAATTATATGAGATCGGATTGATAACTCCGCGCCGCGCGGCAGTAAAACCAGGCGGCGAGGGAGATTTCAAACATAAAATGAAATTTTACGACGCGCCATCGAACCGCAGCAAATATGATGTTATAGTTTGTATGAATATACATATATGTGTATATTTACTTAGTATTATCATAGTGTTAGTGTACTGTTGTGCGGCAGATACATTTGTCTAGAATCAATGAAGATGAAAGACTTTTGTCCGATCGAGCGCCGGGTATCTTGCATAGCGGGAGGGAGCAGACGCGACACTCCTGTGATGATCCTAACTCTTAGCTTAGCTTAGGTAAATCAATTGGAATACTGATTCCATGTATTTAGTAGTGTAGGTACACATAGTTGTTTAAAATATTTAGTTTGTTAACAAAATAGTTGAATTAAGAATTTCGAATGAATTTGGTCCGTGCGCCCAAAGTACACACTATTTTTTTTTTCAAGATTATATTTAAAAATTTCTTTTAAGTCTTTAATTCCCACAGAGTTTATAATTCATCTCTCAGGTTACATAAACTGCGTAGTAAGTGTTAGTTGCTATGAAAAAGAAAGAATTCAGTGGAAATGAGAAATTATAACAAAGCTGTCTAAACAATTTTAACTTTATAATAATAATAATTGAAACAGTTTAAGCGGTGCAGGTGCGGCGGTTGCTGTCTGATTACGCACATTTGATGTTTGCCTCTTTAACTGAGATCAATGCACTTTACTGAAGTACCACAGCGGGCGATTCTGCCACTGAGTGCGACCATGGCTGCAGCTGGGATATGGACAAGTACCGAAATCAGAAAGCTGTAAGCTGACTCAGTAATTCCGTACAATGTATTAGACATAGTGAACTTATAAGTCATTGTTATCCAAATAATCATCAACATAAGATAGTCATCGGCATCCACAAATAGCAGACAACCTTGGTTGGTTCTTTCTTTGTTTTATAATACAATTATTGTAAAATATATCTTTAGGATAAAGTATTATATATTTATCTATGTATTGTAATAAATTTACTTTATGAAATATTTAATCAGAGACATACATTTGTAGATATGTATGTTATCGTGTGACGTCACCTTACAGACACACGTCACATTCTCTACTACATAATTATATGTATGTACTTATTTCCTATACTAAGTACATAAATATATTTACGTAGTGATACAATATGATAAGGATCTCACTATTCACGAGGATGATGTTCTGAAAATGTGCAGCGGTGGAGGAATCCGCAAGTGGGTTAGCATTTTGTGTAAAACTGTGACCATACAGTCTTAGGTTCTAAGATTGTCAAATAAGTGAATTTAAGAAATAACAAAGGTACTCAGAAATTTTATAAAGTCTAAAAAAACAAATACGGCTTTTATTAGAGTCCGCGACTTTAATATTCGCAAATATGCAACAACTCACATTTTTATTTCATTCATTCAATCTGTTGTAAAAGCCACCTCAATACGTGCAAGTAATAAATACTTTTACTGTAAATAATATCGTATGATAATAAAAAAACCACTAATTCAGACAGAATATAGTAAAGCATGAATTAATGTGTGAATTGTTGATGCCCTCTAAGTGAGTATCCGCGGGTATCTGAATCCCGAGAAAGGAGAGTTTACGTTATATTCAACAACGAATAGATAGTGATAGAACACAACAAATTTCCTGCGTTTTACTTCTAAAGCAGCAGGAGACTATTTTGCTTTACAATTAATTCTTGAATAAATACGGATCAAAAATACTAGCTTATCTATTATACAAGTGCAATGACTCAAAGTAGAGTACATAATAAAATAATGCATTACATAGATTCACTACACATTAGATATATAAAGATTCGTGTTACTGTGTAGACGAGCATTAAAAAAGGGAATTAATGAAATTTTACTTCTAAAGGGTCTCAAAAGTGGATTAAAAGTTTGTACTCAGTAAAGTTATTCCTTCGGCAAAATAACTTAAATATAAATGGTTTTCAGCACAAATTATTAACCACGTCTTACAAAATTTTTAGGAATATATACCGTAAGCCTTTTAAGCTCCACGCATTCTCACACTCCTCACACTTGTCTCTTTTTATTAATGTATTCCTCCTTTCACAACACAACTGTTACAACTGTTAATCACCGAACTCAATGTGTAATATTATTATACAACTTCCCTTGACACTGAGGATGTCATGATTAACTATTTTTCTTCCAACTTTGCTAATTTGTAATATTGTAAAATATCAAATATCACTTACGAGTAATTTAGAGGCAAAGCAGTTCACTTGCTCTTATGTGCCGGTGCAGCCGGCGTGCGGCGTGCGGTGTGCGTCGTGCGGCGTGCGGCGTGCGGCGTGCGGCGTGGCCGGGTGCGTGGCGTGCAGTGCGCGCTCAGCTGATAGTCCGCACGTCGCGAGATATCGTCGCCAAATTACTATCGATACGATATCGTTATCGTCTGCCGACTTCTGCTAACTCACTCAACGACGAGTGTGTTCAATATCATTTTAATCATCAATAAAAATTATAATTTCCTGTTCACATACGACACCTTTGACATTTAAAGACGGGACCTTTTGCGTCACGCCCCAGCGAAAAATGGCAGCATTTATTGAGTAAACTGGTGGTTTTAGAAAATGAAAAAAAATGAATTATGATTTCTTTTAATAAACTTGGTGTGATATAATAAAAGAATTTAGATAAATTAAAGATTAAATAATAAAGATTTGTCATGTTCTTAATTTTCATTTCGTTCCACAAAAATATTCAACTTTTAAACACTCAACCATGCTAAGAATTCACTATAGTTAAAGTAACCACAGTGCTGATGCAGTTTTTTTTTGGTAAGATATTTGCACTAAAACCTATAAAATAAATTGTGTGGGTTTTCCATTTGATATGTTAGTAAGTAGTGAGACCAACAGACCAACTACTTGTTCAATAATGGCTTGTTTCGTAACCAGTGGATTTGATAACATTCAGCACACATGTCATTTGTACGCGAGGAGGCTGCAGCAAGCGGCAGGCGCCATGTCACGTACCGGTACAGTTGCGTCGTTGACTGCTCGCGATGTTGACCGACTGGCGATGTCTATCGGTGGAGGAGATGAACGCAAAGGACTCGCTCTTTGCTTGATAAATTCAATGTGAATTTCATTTAATTAAATTGCGATAAACAATATATACTTATTATGCCAATAGTCATCATTTTATATCGAGAGAAAATAAAGTGCCGGAGCGACTCTCTATGCACTGGCTGCAAAGTCGCCTCGGTACTAATGTAGGTCCAGCAGTCCAGTTGTGTAAGACTGTCACGTCCTGTTCTCTGTCAAACAAAATAAATAATAACGTTGTATTATTACTGCGCGCATCCTTACCTAATTGTTCCACAAAACTTATCTCCCGCCGTCGCTTGCCAATTTTGTTGTATTGTTTTACCTTTTTTCGCAAAGATATGCCTCCGCGGGGAAAAAATTGACAGCTGCTATTTGTCTGATTGTGAGTACTGAAGATATATTGCGCGCGAGTTAATTGCGCTCGCTCCCCCGCTCTGCTTCCCTGAACCTCCCAGGCTCCGGCCGGAGCGAAGCTAGGATGTGTTTTTATTTTCTGAAACAAAATTGAGTTAACAAGTTGTAGGCACATTTGTTAATGTTGTGGCTGAAAACATTAAGCAAATGTTGAAAGTTCAAATGAAATAAACTTGACTAGAAATAATTATAAATGAATGTCTCAACTGCGAACAGTTTTATCTCATCATAGGATGTACGTTGCAATGTACTCGTAACATCGGTTTTCTTTGACTATCTAACAGCTGAGCTCATGACAATTTGTGGTCATCAAGTTAATAAGTTATTATAGAGAAGTGATGTACTCTCCAGAGCAAACAACAAATAGAGTATAGAGACAATGTGAGAGGTGCGAGGAGCAGATTTTCGCCGCGCCGCCGCCAATCTACTGAATCAACAAGTCACAACCGAGCCTATGCCTTGGAGCCAAGGATGTCCACGACAACTCGCACAATGTTATTTACATCATTTTAAAGCGCATTTGTTTCTAGCCGAATTTAAATGGAGCGCAATATATAAGTTTTTATTAAGTATGTCGCAACAAACTATTTAATTATAGTTTCCAGTAAATTGTATGAGATTACACAATATAAATTAATTGATTTAATTGTTATTCAAAACTGAATAAGTTTATTTTATCAAAATCTGCAGACAAACAATTTTATGACTGGTAATTCTGAGCACTTCGCAATCAGCAGAATACTACATTGTTATTTCATAATTAAAAAAAAACTCGAATTAGGCAACCCTAGAGTTAGAGCAAGTAATTCATTTAGCAAGATGACGTTTTGTTTGCTGGCTGTGCGTATATGTGATGTGTGCGGGTGGCGCGAGACGGCTCGCCAAGCTAACGGAACAACTTACACCAGCTGTTTGCGCAAAGCTCATCCTGCTAGAGCTACAGCTCGTCCATGTGGCAGCTATGATATTACCTGATGTAACACTAGCGACTCATCCCCGTGCCACATGAGTAACAAGCAGTACCTACTACAAATATTTAATTATCACAACGTTACGTGGGTGTCAGAGGTCATACGTGGGAGTTGTCGCTTCAAGATAAGGAAGATTCCGATGCGTGCACTGCCGCACGCCAACTTTGATTTTTGTTCCTTTGTTACAACTAAACATATATTTTGGAAAATGTGAAATGTATTAAATAATAAATTTTGTATAATACAATGTCCATCACAATTGCACCAACACTCTGCAATAAATGACATTGTCACCCAGTAACATGTGTTTATAATATTTCTTATTTCCATAGAATATGTCTATAGTTTAGCGAAGGCGGGGGCGGGAGGCGGGGGGTGGTTGGGGTACACTAACCCGCGCCACTAGCCCTCCACTAACTCTGCCTAACTGCGGTCGCTAATTGACTTCGATTGTCGCATTTTATCGCCGGCCTCTTACTTAATCTGCTTCATAAAAAATATACATAGTTGTATGAAGTAAGTGTATACGAACGATTATTGTAATGTTAGGAAAGCTATGAAAACTAAATTATAGCTATTATAGTATGTTATATAATATAATAAAATAAATATATTTATATCTAACGAGTATGGTTTTAAATATATTATTTCATATAAAAAACAGTTTTTCCCTGTCTGTCTGTAAGTCCGAGTTTATAGTCGTAGTAGGAGTAACGAGCGAACATAATTTATGTTTGCGTTAATTCACAATTATAACATTTTTATTTTATATCGAACTAAAAAATAAAAAATCGTATGAACATTGAATACAAATTTCATAACAACAAAGTCTATATATAGCTAGCTATTCGGTTAGTCTAGTATAAGTGATCTTATAAGAGTTTTACATAAAATACTTTTTTTTAATATATTTACTAAAAATTTGAAGCAATTGTTCACCATAAAGGATACTGTGTAGAATGAGATGTGCAGATCTATTGAGCTATCACAGCCGCACATCTTGATAACTTTTATAATATTTCAGTAAGTTGAGAATGATGACATGATGGAAAAAAAATATTTCCCTTTCTCATTCCATTTAAGCTGAAAGGGAATTTGACTTTTATGCTTAATAATGTAACCGAAACGTTTCTACGTTTCGGTTACATTATATGGAGAGCGGAGAGCGGGCAGCGCGCGGGGTCTCGCACCGTCCAGTAACAGTAAGTTTAACGAGCGGTCATTCACTGTAACGAGGCTTTACGAGGCGTCGCGTCACCAAGCGTTAATAGTTTTACTTTCAATTGTTGTTTATTGCCATCTCCATAAACTGTTGTTAATAACTGCGCGACTGTCCGCGCGTCCGGCGCCGCCTGCTCACACCCTGCCCGTGTGGCCCCGTGTGCAAATTATGACACAAAATTATGACTCTCTGCCTACCCTCGATTTGTAGCCTATGAAATAAATTGTTCTCACCGATGACAAGTAATTAACCAGACAATGATATATGATTAGATGAGATGACAATATTATTGATTATTCTATTTTAATATTGCTTTTTTAATATTTATGTACAAAGTGAATGAGGCAAACGAGCAGATTAACAAGGCACATAAACATCCGCAACACTAGAGGTGAACTGCAGGTACAACATCTTTCATATCGATGATTCAAATATCTAAAAAGTTCTCGTTTCACAAAGATGGAAGCCCTGCCAACAAAGTGGTCTAGCAGAAATATATGTGACCGTCATCATCGACAATTATGTCAAAATTAGTATGAGATTTTTTGTGTTTTTAATTTACGCTTTACGCCCGATACGCTGCACAAATATAAGTGCTAGGCTCAATGGTCTCTCTGCACAAACAGATAGAAACACGTCCTGACATACATGTAATATGTGATAATTAAAGTTTGAGTCGCTGGAGATTCGCATCATGTTCTCTGCCAGCCCCTTTGGGTTACGGGCGTAAGTTTTTGTTTAGTATATCAATTTGTATTAGATTAGTGATTGCCATATTATCATATTCATCTAAAAATATTTCTATGAATAAATCTTTATAGCTGCTTTAAATCAGTTATTTACAAAACGATCCAAGTAATTTCTCGGAGACTTCGAATGATCCCGGGCGGTGGGGTGAACACTCACGGGAAGTCAAGTTGACGGTTCACACGTAGAAGCCAGAAAATCTAGAAAGAGCGTTCAAAAAAAGGGTTTACTTTATTATAAATGAAACTCAAATATTTCCAAGACAAATGTGGTCCCGCTGAAGTGGCGTTTAGCGTTCGCCGACGTGGAGCCACACGGGAGTCGCACGTGGAACGCACGCGGCGCGCTGGAGTTCATGAACAAATACCACCACCAAACACTTAATACAAGTTTGGCTGGAAACGTTTGTACGCACATTTCTTTTGTCATTATATCCGACATCATTACAACATTATTCTGACCAAAATGTCTGACTGTCTTATATCTATAAATTGAGACTAAATAACAATTATTTATTGAGATTAAAGTACAAGTACGAGAATTTGTAATACTTTGTATAATAGTTGAGAGTGAGGGCGAGCTTCAGCTGCTGATATTGTGTCACCTTTGACACATGACCTCAGGCCTTTTCCGACGATCATTAAGATTTTTGGTGACGTCATCGGGTACGTCACGACGTATTGTTGTGAAAAGGGGTGGAGTCAGAGAAAGGCTGCGCGAGCTGGTCCCGCCCCTTGCTCTCCCGCAGCCAACCACTATATAAGGCTTTGCCGGAGCGGGCAGGAGCAGTGACTAGTCCACAGTGCAGGCAGACAGTCGACGCGAGGCTCCTCAAAGTTTACATCGAGTTACTTACGGTAAGTACTTCACTCATTTGCAATATTGTTGTATCCGATGTGCCGTTATTTTTTTTAATGTCGGATATAGATATAATGCGAATATTTATATAAAAGCAGCTAAAATGAAGAAAAATGCAAGATAAAAAGTTAAAGAATAGTTTAAGAAGTTTTAGGCAGTGCACCGCTAAGTTAAAGCGTTGGTAACTACAAAATTAAATCTGAAGGTGTTTTATTAACTTGTCCAGAATGCCAACAATCCGATTTCACTTTAGGTCTGTTATTAAATCTCTGAAAATAACAACGCGACGGGCTCTAAGAAATTATCCATATTGTTGTAAACTAAACTCCAGTTATTATAACAACTATTTACACCACAAAGAAAAGGTAACATGTTATAGTTACCGTGTTCGGAGGAATTATTTCCGTTAAAGAGTACGTCGCTGTCAGTTCACCACCCGATAGCCGACAACCGACAGCCGACAGCCACGACGGCCGAGCGCATCCTCCTCGCCGCGATGTGCACCTTGCAAGCTAAAGTCGTGATTCCTTTGCCGTTACAGTTTTAGAGGACACGCTAGAAATTACACTATCGTTCTACAAAATCGTCACTACGGCGATCGGGCACTCGGGCACTCGTCAAACTGTCCGCAAGTTGGAACTTAGGACTGAATCTGAATTGGGTTCATTACATAACGTTTTGTACAGATTATAGATTAAATTAATACATGATAACAAACTTTAACTAGATTCAAGGGAAAACTCTGAAACTGACATAATTTCTTTAATAATTTATGTGTACTGATATTATAAAACGTAAACAATTTTGTTTGGATTCAATAGGCTCCGAAACTATTCAACAAATATGAAAAATTCTGTCGTAGTTGGAAAAGACATAGTAAATATGCCGCGCCGCGGCTGACATAGTTAACATCGTTAGTTCTAGATTTTTTAACTCCGCTATATTCAATCATTGTTTTAGGCGGAATACGAAAATTTAAAGAAGGGAAAACATATATTTGTTCTGCTTATGGAAGCTCTGGTTTTATTCTCGTAACTGATGACACGATCCTTACCAGTCACTGTTAAATTAAGTAATTTTTATTTTAAGTCTTTGATACCATACTTATTTTTCTTTTTAAAAATTAAATAACGCATATTTAAGAAGCATATCTTGTATAAGAGTATCTTTACTTTATGATAAATTTTAATCTATATTAAGATAAAAAAAACTCCGTTACATTCATGGATCCGGATGGATGGATGGATATTTGTTAGGAGGTATGTCGAAAGCGGCTCCATGGATCGCGCTGATATTTCCCATATGTGTAGAACACAGCTTGAATGATCACATAAGTTAATTTTATTTCAGCGTAAACGTAGTCGCAGGCAACCGTTAGTCATTAAAAAAAGGCAGTAAAATCAATAAGAAATACAAAACAGTTAAAAATAAAACTGTTTTGATTTGATAAACATAATGGCATAAGAAGTGGCGCGCTGAGCTGACGCCGGCCGGCAGCCACTTTGCAAAGCAAATAATGGAGGAAGTATTTATGGTTCTTTATATAATATTTTCATTGAAACGACGGAATGAAACACAAATAATAAATAATATTTTCTTAATAGAACGCTGCCAGTCTGCGTAGCGTATTGCGCGCTACGGCTGCTACGGGCTTAGGCATATCGTAGCTTTCCGTAGCGTACATTTTATTGAGAATTGAATAATAAGGAGCAAACGTGACGGCGTTCTCTCTGTGAGTTACTCAAACAAGTAACACATAGGATATTCTTAAATCAATATCGTATACGTTATACTGTATTATTAGTTTTGTTGCAAATTGTTCGCTTTCGACTTTATTTATTTATCCAAATCATATTATTATTGAAAATAAGCAGCATTTTATTGATGAAGTAGGAATAACTTGAGTTGAATATGTTTCCACGGAACTATTTAGCGCAAATGTTAATAAAAGAAATGTAAGCCATTTTGTCTACGGTTTTATTTATGTTTTTTTCATTTTTCACTGCTGATACTGAACTGTCATGAGTAGCTTTTCACGGTTTGTTTCTTTAAATATCTACAAATAATTATGCGCAAAACGGGTGTTGGCTATTGTAAGCGTGATATAAAAGTTTAAGTTATTTGATTAAAACCAATGTTGAAGTCGACGACGTATCAATTTGCCTGCCCCGCCGACGCTGCGTTTCATTTCAGCGCAAATGAAAGTGGCTCAGCGGCGGCAGCGGCGGCGGCGTTGCAATTGTTCGCGATTCATTAGCGACCGTCGCAAGTGATGAAACAATTCCTCTACGAGCCTCTCTCTCCTCTGTCACTGGCACATTAATGTGTTTAAGGTACTCAAATTGTCATAAAATATTGTTCTATTTGGAAATGTGGTGTTTCTATTTACGTTTCTTACAAAATGTACTGCACCATTGGAAACACAAATGTGTTACCTCAAATTTAATTAATTCATTTAGAAATGAAACTATTAACAATGACGTGTCTTTACTATCAATACTTCCGAAGAATATTAAACGCTGATTTATCCGCGGGTTTGCAACTAGTTATGACCGCGTGGCGGAGCGGCGGCGGGGGCGGCGAGCTGCAAGTGCCGGTCGCGCGGAGATCAATTTTATTCCAAGCTGTCATATCTTACAACTTGTTGTTTCTTGTGTTAATTGAACTTTAAGTTACAATAAAGTTTTGATAGCCATATAAAAATCAATGTCTGTATCTTTATGTTCCAAAACCAGTCGATGTATTATAATAAAACATTGGTCATGAGGATATTCTGACGTTTGTGACCTCCTCCATTTCTAAATAAATGGAATAAAAGACACAATGCTCCTGTTTTTAGTAACGCTTTAAAAAGCGAAGTTTTGAAGTAAGAAGTCAAGAATTAAAATTTATTTATTCAGACGTAAAACACAGTGAATTTATAAAATTAATGACAAAATGGAATTTTTCTTAAGAAAATATTATATTTATACAAATACTAGAATAAATTAGACAACGGTTTTTTTGATATTAATTATAATTATCTTAAGTGATTTTATTACAAAAATTTAGTCAAAAATAATGAACGGTGAAGTTTAATTGAATTAATTCGTCCTGTTGCAGGACAAGTCGGGTACAAATCCGTTAATTGGCTATACATATTCATGCTCGCGACGGACTTTGTGAAAAAATCTCAAGTTTTCCGTTGATAAGTTTTATATAATGAAGTTACAGTTTCGGGCTTCCATTACACTTTTACCATAATAATGAAATTTGTTAAAATTTAAAATTTTACAGTGATTCATGTCCATCGTTTAAAATACTACAACACTTATCAGCCAAGTGTGACGTGTAGCATCGCGTAGCATGGTGTAGCGGTGCGTAGCAGAGCGTAGCGGTCTCTCTCTTCCACGCAACCGACGACGGCTTCGAATTAATTTGACAATAAACAGCTTTTGTAGGCTCGAAAGATAATCCGGAAATAATGGAGGATCCATTTGCAAATCTCGGAGTGAATTAAGTCGTGCGGGGTGGGGGGTAAGATGCGCGGGGCGAGGGGCAGCCGCCTGGCCCCGACGGCTGCGACCGTTGTAGCTTTATTAACATTATCTTCAATTAATTTGGTAAATGAACTCATTGGAGAGGCCCATTGTCGCGCTGCGCCTTCCACTACCCGCTCCCCGCTACCCGCTCCCCGCTCCCCGCTACCCGTTCCAAGCGGCAAATATTTGGATCGGCTTATTGTTCTCAGTTTCGTTGAAATAATTGAAACAGTTTATCGTCATTGATGCTCCTTAGTATTTGTTTGCGTACTCATTGTGAAACTGTTGGAAGCCATGTTTCATTACGCTATTACGTCTCGCTATTGCTACATTAGCAGATGACGAGCAGCTCTATTCTCATCTTTTAACAAATGTAAGAACTAATGATATATTTATAGTCTAAAAAAACATATTATTGTAAACGAGTAGAGGGAGGTGGAGACGCGGGTGAGAGCGGGGTGGTGGTGGGAGGGCGGGGGGCTCGTTAGGGAACGCGCAGGATATTTATTGCACTTTTTACAGGCACGCTTGTTTCTTTTCAAAAAAAGCAACAGTAAAACGCCGCCGTCTTGAATTTAAATTTATCACAAATATAAATAAATTAAAACTCAAGACGTTTCAGACAACTATATTACACAAACAACACGTGATACAACACGCGATTAAATTAGTAAAATATAAATAATAGTATTTCATTGTTCAGAGCTTAAGCGATTTAAGAGATACTCTTCTGCAAACTAGTATTGTGTATCTCTTATAGCTATTCTTCACAGAACTTGTTATTATTGAATAATATAAGAGAGCGTGATGAAGCACTAATGATGCAATCTGCGCCGCGCTCGGACACCTGCGGAGTGATCGTTGTGTCTCGTCGTGTCTCGTTGTCACAACAATAACGAAACGAATGAGTGCAATAAACATACAATATGTGTGTAACCGCATCATTCAGTAGCTGCTTGCGGCACACTCGTGTCCTGTGTAATTCTCTCATTACTAGACAAACCACCTGCTTTAGAAACCCACGCTTATGTGACAGAAATGTTTTTACTATCTTGTGGTCGTCCATAGCTTGGAATTCGATCATAATTTGTATTCATTTTTTTAATAATAATAGCTTTATGCACTTCTCCATATTAACTAAAACTCTTTCAAACGCGTTCTTCACTACGCGCAATTTTCTCAAAAAGTTTTCGCTTCACGTATTTCTAGCTAATTATATTTTAACATTATAGTATTAGAATTATTGTGTACTTTATTATTATGACGCAAAAATTTCATCAAAAACGGATGTTTGATCTGAACGATATTGCGCGCCGCGGAATGGGAAAACAATTAAAAGAGTTTAAATATCGCACGAATGTTAACAAAGCGAACATATCCTCGGCGCGGCTTTTAACTAATTTGCAATAAAAACAAACAATTATAAAGGTGAGCGCAGAACGTTCACATTTGCATACAAATGGTGTCGCCAGATGGCG